TTAGATGGTAGGAAAAAGTTCTTCAATGAGGCTGACAGATGACTGGAATAGGTTGCCCAGACAGGTGGTGGAGGCCCCATCCCTTGGGACATTTAAGGTCAGGCTTGATGAGGCTCTGAGCAGCTTGACCTCGTTGGAGATGTTTCTGCTTATGACAGGGGGGTTGTACTAGATGACCTTTAGCAGTCCCTTCCAACCCAATACATTCTATGATTCTATGACTTGAAAAGAAATCCATAAATAAGGACTTGCTCCTGACTACCTATCAGCTGCTTCTGCTATGACCTTTTCAACATCACCAAAACATATGACCACTCTATTTTACCTGCATTAATCACTGCCTGTACATTCTATCTGCCAAATAGATAACACTGTGTGAAGATCCTCCATTTCTGCGCAATTCACACTACTTCACAAATATTTCTCTCCCAGTACATCTCTGCCACCTTTACTGACAAAACACTATCTATGCAAGACAAGTAATTAGCATACTGGCCTTTTGCTGTTCCGTTGACGTACTAGGACAGAAAATGGGTGAGGATAAAGGGCAAGCAAGATGGAAAAAAAAGTGTGGAGGAAGCAGATTCAGGAAAGAGAAAAACAGAAAGGGAATTCACTTGGGTAAGAAGCTAAAGGAGTAAACTGAAATAGAAGAGTTTGCATCTGGGAAGTTAACAGCACTTAAGTCAGAATTAAGAAAGACAGAGAAAGGGTTGTGTATATGCTCTCCTAAAGTAGATGATGATTTTTGCTGTATAAAAGAAAGTATTTATATCCCAATAATGGCACATGGCTGTCCTGAAGAAGCTGCTTTCAGATAATTTCTACAGAAAAACCTGGGGTTGTGTGGAGAAGCAGAGAAAGTTCTCTGGAAGTTCATTTACATGTACAAAGAGACACATGGATAACTTCAGTTTTATGATGACTTAATACAGCTACAACAGCCAGATCAAATGCTTCTAAAGTGTCAGGGGGAAAAAAAACAAAACAAAACAAAAAAAAAAACACAAAACAAAAGTATGAGTGACTGACCTGTTCTACTCTCAACATGTCTATGATCTGATCAAACAACGGGGTTCTCAGCAAGTCTCGATGAATTAAGAGAGTTTCCAGAGCATTACAGGCAGCAGGATATTCACACTTTGAGTCTCTGACTAAGGTTTAAGAGTAGATAATTGGTTACACAACATTTACAACAAAGATTTTGAACAGCATATAAGTTATCAATTACCAAAATCATACTGCATACTCTAAAGCCAAAGTTGATTTATACCCACAAGATTCAAGTCACCCCTTCCCAGCTTACTTATTCGTGTGACCTTCTCAACACTGGCATCTGTGTCCACATACACATGACAGATCCCTTCACTGTGTCCCATCACTGGAATTCCCTTAGCAGCTTTCTGGATATTCCTGACTAGCTGTGATGAACCACGTGGAATGATTAGATCTATCAGCTTATCCAAACGGCAGAGATCTTCTACTTCCTCTCTTGTGTTCACCTGTGGTAGTTGCAATACAAACAGTCCATAGTTTGAACTCTCAAGTTCTGCCCTTACTTTTTATACATACCTTAGCAAAGAAATTGTTCATCTAGTTTTAGGTACTTACTAGTTGCACCGCATCTTTGACTCCGTGAATGGAGAGTGCTTCTTGTGCCAGATGATGAAGGATTTGAT